CTGTGCACCTGGGTCTCCAATCTCAGGGTTGTGGGGGGTTGCAATCACCTCTGGAGGGGAGCCCCAGGTGAATGAACCTGAATCTCCCTTCAGATGGACTTTCACTCACCCAGTGGCACACACCCATTCACAGAGAGAGTCTTTATAGACATTCGCTTTTGCAGAGACTCTCACAGTCCGAATTGTTCTGTCGCCATATTGCCTGGAAGTCAATACTTTCTTAAGTGTTTCTTGTAGAGCTGATCTGTCGGCAGGTAAACTCTTTTTTTTTCTTTTTGAGTTGGAGTCTCACTCCATCATCCAGGTTGGAGTATAGTGGCATACTCATGGCCATCCCAGTGTCAACCTGCTTGGGCTCTGGTGATCCTTCTGCCGCAGGCTTCTAAGTAGCTGGAACTACAGGCACACACTAGCATACCTGGCTAGTTTTTGATTTATTGTAGAGAGCAAGTTCTCACTAAGTTGCCCAGGCTGGTCTCAAACCCATGGACTCAGACAATCCACTCGCCTCGGCCTCCCAAAGTGCTGGGATTACAGGCTGAGCCACCGAGCCCAGCCTAGCATAAACTTTTAAGGATTGAATGTCACGGAAGGATTTTAATTCTCCATTACTGATGAAACTTAGCTTAGCTGGGTAGGTAATTTTGTTTGAAATTGTTTATCTTTCAGAACTTTGAAGACTGGGTTCCAAGCTCTCCTAGACTGAAGTGTTTTTATAGATAAGTCTGCTGCTATATACTAAGTGGTCTTCTTCGGAGGTAGTCTGACCTTTCTCTCTTGCTGTCTTTAGGAGTTTTTCTTTTATACCTACTTTGTGTAGGCAGATTACTATGTGTCTAGGAGTTGGTCTTCTCGTTTGATGTCTTGCAGGGGTTCTCTGAATCTCTTGTGTTTGAATAATCACGTCACTGCTGAGTTGAGGGAAGTTTTCTTGGATAATTTCATGAAATGTTTGCTCCAGGGTGATCTCTGTCTCTTTATCTTCCTCAGGGATTCCAACTAATCTTATGTTTGGCCTCTTGAAATAATCAATCATCTCTTGGAGATTTTGCTCTGTCTTTTAATCTTGTTTTCTATGTTTTTAACAGTTTGGGTTAGTTCCATATTTTTGTCCTCAAGCTCTGAGATTCTTTCTTCTGCCTGGTTAATTCTGCTTTCCATGCTTATCAGATTGTTGTTTATTTTATTCACTGTATTCTTTATTGCTGTTATCTCAGTAATCAACTCCTTCATTCTTTCCTCTTGTCTCTCCTCATTTCTACTTCTCTCTATTAACATCTTTATACCTGGGTTTGTGGTTTGAGACCAGTCATCCTGGGGACTCTTCATTGTTTGAATTCCGAAGTCTGTATTCTCAATGTGAGACTCATATTCTTCCTTTGGTTTTTCTTCATTTGTGTATGTTTTCCTCACCCCTCCCCTTTTGTAACCTCTTCTTTAATTCTGTTGTTCAGAGATGGGGGAATAGCTTTCATTTCTGTTTACTCAATCTCCTATTCTTCCTTATGTAGATCCTCTGGTTTTGTTCATTTCTGAAGCTGGATCGGGGTGGGGCCTGTGCTTTTTGCAGTTTTGAGATGTAATAGAGTGGGGAACTATGATTCAGAAGCTATCTGCAAGTCCTAGTATTTGCTGACAGGTTTGTGGGCCCCCTGGAACCCACTTCCCACTGTCTTGCAATCTGTCCATGCAGTGGGGATGTCTGTTTGCCTCCTGAAAGGAAAATGAGATAAGAAAAGGGAAAAGAATGGAAAAAGGAAAGAGGAAGATGAAAAGGAGGTGGAGAGAAAGAAGAAGAGGGAAAACAGACAAGCATACCAGCTAACAAATAAACAGAGAAACAAGCAAAGACAGAAAAAACAAAAAGACAAAAACATACAGACAGTCATACAATCAAACAAACAGCCCCACCCCCCTCTTGGTGTACTCTTCCTCAAAAATACTGATACATAAATAGAAAATCTAAAAAAAACAAAAACAAAAACAAAACAGAAACAAAGAAAGCACAAAAACAAAAACAGAAAGAAGAAAGCTAAAACTAAACGAAAAACAAACAAGAATAAAAAAAAAACCTTGCTCTGTGGCCGTTTCTGTAACTCCAGGTTCCTTTTAGGCCTCCTTCTTAGGGAGCAGCTCTGGTCTCCATCCCCTCCCCTCCACTTCTACTCTCGGCAGGCTGATAGGGTTGCTTTCAGTATGGGTCAGATGCCCCATGGACTACTGTGGGAGGAGGATGGATCAGATCTGTACTCACCCTACTCACTGCTACTACTGTCAAGTCTCCCACTTAGATCTGATGTGTCTGTGCCTGTTCCAGCATGGGGGAAAGGATGTCTGTCTCTCTGAGTCTGATTAGATAATAGCCTCTGGGTCCTAAGATGGGGCTGGGCAGAGCTGGTGGGGCATTGTAGGTCTCTGTCCAGTCCTGAGATTGAGAATGGTGTCTGTCAGCATCTCGTCCCTGGTGTTGGAGCTTTATTCTGGATTTCCGTGACCTGCCTTCTTCATGGTTCCCTCTGCTTGTGCCCAGTCTGCTGCTGCAGGTGATTGTGTGGGCTGGGTGCCAGGTGGTGATGGGAAGAGAGCCCTGAGAACAGCAGATGGTCCTGCATGCCTGGGTCTCTAATCTCAGGGTGTTGGTGGGTTGCAGTCACCTCCAGAGGAATACCCTGGGTGTATGAACCCGGGTCTCCCCTCAGACAGACTTTCGCTCACCCGCTGGCACACGCCCACTCATGCAGAATGTCTTTATGCACACCCGCTTTTGCAGAGACTCTCACAGTTCGACTTGTTCTTTCGCCATTTTCCCCAGAAGCTACTCTTGAGATGTTTCTTCTGTAAATTGTGGCACAGTCTTCTAAAAATTTCCAGATAAAAGCTTTGATTGATCATTTTATCTGTAGGAACAAATTCCTAGTGTACTACAAGGGACCTGCTCTCCAAAACGATAATTCTGGCATTTTTTGGACCCCCCTTGTATGTGGAAGCTGGGGTCCAAGGGTTCACATTTTCTTCAGATTCACTCAGTGAGTCAGTGATGGATCTCACTCCTCTTGGAATCACTTCTAGAATCACTAATCCCAGGCCTTATTCTTGAGGTTTCTAGACTTTCTTCTTCTGATCTTCTCATGACCCTGATCTTACAGACTGTTCACTACCATCTTTTCCTGAATCCCATTTGAGACAGAGGGAGCTACGAGGAAAGGATAAACCTGAGGGCTCTTGACAAGGTCTTTACATGAGTGATTAAAGCCAGGAACTGAAAGAGGTAGAAGAGTCAAAGGTATCTCCATAGTGTCAACCTAAGGGAGCAGAAGAGTGGTGGTATCACCAAAACAAATTGATAGTTGAGAAGTCTTATTCCTGGGTTGTTAAATCAGGTTTTAATTCCAGGGACTCTATTCACTGGTTAACCATGAGCAAGTCTCTTAGCTTCTCTGAGCCTCAGTTTCCTTATCTTTTTTCTGAGTATAACCTTACCTGACTTTCATGTTTATTTTATTTGTTGATCAAATGATGCAATACCTACAATGTGCTTTGCAAAGAGTAAAGCTGTATGCACATGTTACCCATTGTCAGTATCAGATACATTATCACAAGAGTCAGATTGTAAATGGAGGCACCGGCTTCTTGGCTAAAGTATGCTTATATCAGGAGCCAGCACACTGTGGCTCATGGCCCATTACTGGCCTGCTGCCCGTTTTTATATGGGTCCTGAGCAAGGAATTTTTTTTTTTGCATTTAAATAAGGCTGAAAAAAATCAAAAGAAAAATATTTATGATCTTCAAATGAAATTCAAGTTTTAGTATCCATAAGTAATGTTTATTGGAGTGTAACTGAATCTGTTGTATTGTCTATATATTGTCTATATATTGTCTATGGTTGCTTTTGTGCTACAATAGTAGGATGAGTAGCTGTGACAGAGACCATATGCCCTGCCAAACCTGAGATACTTACTGTCTGGCTCTGTGTAAGAAAAGTTTACCACTCTGTTTCCTTTCTTCCTACCTGTTGAAGCTTCTGAAGAGGGGAGAAAATTTAAGAAAATCTTAACAAAATTTTAAAAATATTTTTGTTTGATAATATAGGTAAAGTAAGAATTTGTCATTTTTTAAAACTCTCTGATGCTTTTAAAAATAAATTTTGTTCAGTGTTGAAATGGTATTATAACTTTAGAAGATAATTTAGGATAAAAAGAAACCTTATTACCAAACACAAACTACCCTTAACATGGCCATTCTGACATGTTTACGAAAATGAAGTAGATACTTCCTTCTACTCTTGACTTATGTATTTCCAAATGGCTGTAGTCGTGCTTTACATTAGATTTTCATAGTTGAGAAGTCCTTTCCAGTTAGCTTTCATAAATATTACTTGATTATTGCTTTTATTTTTCAAAGTGGTTACACTATGATAGAATGGTACAAGGTGCAATCTCTGTATATATCTCAAAAATGCTTCCTGTTCTTGCCTTTGGTCCAATTATTTCTACTTCAAATATGACTGCAATTGCTTCTCTCTAGAGCCAGTGCTGGACAGCCCGGGCTTGCCCATTGCCCTTTCCTACCTTAATCTCTGCTCAAGTGCAGCATTCCTGCTGAGCTTAAAGCCTGACAAAGACAAGGAATAAAACCAAAGAAAAAAATGTCAGAAAAAAAAAAATGAACTCGATATTTTAAAGAATTTCCTCTCTCTTTAGCCAGACCTCTTCTTAAAGCATTCAATAATAATAGAAAAAATATTTGGCAAACAAAAATATTTTCTATTTATCTAATAATAATGTGAGGGATGTTTGTGCTCTCTGTTGCATTTTTAAATAAGCACAAATAAAAGTAAGACCATTATTGTCATCATGTTAATACTGTTTAACAGCATTAATACAGAACTGTATTTACTGTATTTAATACAAAAACCTTCAATATATCAAATTAACTTAACACTATGAAATATAGTAAAAGATCACTACTTATATTTTATTCTCTTATTTTTCACAGTGAGAAGCTGGATGGAAAAATTAAAAGATAAGGTAGGAAATGTATTTTCTTTTCTTTTTTAAAATTTATTTATCCTGAAGAACATATAGATTTGTGAAACAAAAGATCTCCAGAATAGGGGTGCTTTAGATTATTATTTCTGATTCTGGTAATCTACTCAAAGACACAGGGCTATTTCTGGGTGCCCTGCAGGAAAGGTCTTCCTTTAAATATCTTCTTGTAGAACACAGGAGACACCATATTCTTTGGAGTACCATTCATTTTTATAAAAGTAGAAGAACTTACCTTGTTTGTTATGTTCAATGGAATAATATCCTTGATATATGGGGAAGTTTCTTCTAAGGAATTTCAGGAATGTAATCCCATTTTCTGGCATTTTTTTTTTTGTGCCAGTGTGAGGCTCTCTAGGTACATAGTTTATCACAGTGCTGCTACTTGCTAAGTGTTGATGAGCTGACCTGTCTGGAATGGCCAACTACAGAAAAACATTCTCTTCTCTTGCATTATTCTGCCATCCACATAGTGATTGGCAATATTAACTTCCTTTCAGATTCATATTGTTCATTATCTTTTGATTTTCAACTCTTCTTAGGTTTTCACTTTTGGTTACTTTGTAATTTTGAACTGAATTCCTCATAAGAATATTGATGGAGTCCTGAATTCCTTGCTGTGGACTGTGTCAGATCCATTATCACTGCCCATATCAGATTTCACTGGGGTTTTAGTTAAGTGGACATCTTTTCACGGTTAAATATTGAGTTACCTCCAATTCACTAGGCTCAATGTACTTCTGTTGATGCATTCCATATCTTTTTTTAAATTTAGTCAATTTTCTCCATATTTGAGTTATTCATATTTTACTACAGCTTGATATTAAGGATTAAAAGAAAACATTCAATTGCAAGTAAAATGATATAATTATATTAATTCTCCTCACTGTTATTTTTCTGCTACTCAGTAAAATTGAGCATATATAGTTTTTGCGGAGACTATTTTGTGTTCATATACATTAAAAGTGACATTGAAAAATGTTGAGGCTGAGATTAGTGGAGGCCATTTTGTATTTGTAATGGACCCAATTGTGCAAAGGTGGTATGATCAGATGGACTGAAAAAGACTTGGGGGAGAGAAAAGCTCAACAGTTTAGAACTGGATATATTTACATTGGTGGTGCTTCTTGTTATTTTTCAGGGAAAAATGTGATGCAGTAAAAATTAAACAGGCTTTGGTATGTTACTCTAGGAATTCATAGGTCATTGTTTCTATAAAAATATCCTCTCAATTGCAAGAAAAAGGACAAAAAGTAGACTTAAAATATATTTTGGCATGTAACCTGTTTTGAAATTTGACACTGCAAAATTTCTCACCTGCATGTATATATAGCTTCACTACTCCCTTTAAAAACATCTGTTCAGTTTTAGAGAAAGGCTATATTTTTATTCCTATGAATCCTTCATTTTTAGTACCTTCTTCATACTCTTTTTCATCAAGAGAAATAATGTGTGACCCTTAGTTTTCTGACTTATCTTCAAGTTTTTCCCAGCTTGCACTTCACTTTTCCTCTGTAGTAATTTTTTTTTTGCAGTATGTTTGAATTTTTAAAAATTGGAAGAAGAAAATTCAAGACTCCTACAGGGGTTGTCTTATTTAATGCCTGTGTCCTCATCTTTTGACTCTTGAAGGGACTCATTTAACTCTTCAACGTAACCCTTCTTTCTCTATGCTTGAAATATTATGTGCTCACTTGATATGTCTATTTATATGTGTATACACATCTCTCTATATCTATCTATCTATCTATCTATCTAATCTATCATCTATCTATCTACTTACCTATCATCATCTAGTCTATCTTTCTATCTATTATCTATCATCCATCCGTCATTTATAAAAATCTTGTTAGTCATTATCTTTAGAAACCAGATGAGAGCAAAACTATTATCTCTTTAGTGAAAATCACATAATCCTTAGAATTGAAAAGCAAACTACATATTTAACTGAGCTCTTTAACCAAGCCAGAACACCTTTTCAGGTTAGCTTCATTTAATTGTTCTAATTTTGGGTCTCTACTTGTTAGCTGTATTCTAGAAAGGGTGGTGTTCTCAAAAGTTCTGAATTATTCCTTTTGTTGTTGTTGTTTAACCTTTAATTAGTTAATCCTAATTAATATATAATTAGGATTAAGATCAGTTATGAGTGATAGACAACTCCCCGTGACAATAGCTTAACCAAGATAGAAATTTACTTCTCATGTATGAGTCTGATTAAAGCTATCAAGGGTTAGTAGGGAGGGACATGGTGACAGGGGCTCAAGCTTCTATTTGATGCTTCACCATTTGTGACCTTAATTCCCAAGGTCACCCCATGATCCTGGATGGCAGTTTCAGCTTAATCACATTCATATTCTAGCCAGAGGAAATAATGATAAAGAAGGGAGGACAAAAATACTCTGTCATTCTTAAAGGGGGAACAATAAAGACTCTGCTCCCCTTTCCAAGAACATGTCTTGGAATTTACATGTGCCACTGACATATCTTCTTGGTAAAATTTATCACATATCCAGCTACCCAGAAGGTGAAGGGAAGTAATCTTTATTTTGTGCCCAGCCTTCAATTGAAAACTCTTTTGCTGTAGAAAAAGGGAAGAATGAATATTGAAGGACAGTCTCTATATTCATTTCGTCATTAACCTTCTTCTTGGTTAAATAGTGATGCTTGTTAGGCAAATCTCAATTTGGCTATCTATTAATATATCTTTTCAACATCTAAATTGCTTCTCAGAACTGAAGATGCATAACAATTTTCATTGTGTGATAAAGACAGCCCTGCTGTTATGTTACCAAAACCATTCTGTTTCTTCTGGCTTTAGGAAACAATCCAGAAAATGAATGACCCAGACTATACTTCATAGCAGTGATTCTCAGTGTGATCTGGACCAACAGCATCAGCATCACCTGGGAGCTATTAGAAATACAAATTCTCAGACCCCACCCTAGACCTACTAAATTAGCAACTCTGGGAATGGGACTCAACAAGCTGTGTTTTCATAAATCTGACTGGTGATTCTGATGCATGCTCAAGTTTGAGAGCCCCCATTTTGTAAAAACCTTAAGGACATTGTCTCAATTCAGCAAACTTTAGGCAGTACAGTTTATCATTTAGTTTTCTTATAGCTTTCTTGACAGCAGATGTTTCTGAACAAATATATTATCCTGAGAAGAAAGGCTACCTTTCTCTTAAACTTCAAACAAACAAAAAACTCCAAAGCCAACCCAACAAAAACAAGTATATCTAGTAATATTTTGATTTATAATCTGATTTAAAAATTTTAAAAATTATTTCCAAACTTTACTTGGAAATAATTTAAAATTTACAGATAGGATACAAGAGTAATAATGGTACAAAGGACATCTTTCCTCCTCTTCTCAGATGCACCTGTTAACATCTTACCCCATTTGCTTTATCATTAGCTGTCATATTCTCCTCCTCTTTTTTTTTTCTTAGCCATTTGGGCATATGTTGCATATATCATGACCCATTTACCCCTAAATACTTGTATGTATTTCTTAAGAGTAGGAATATTTTGTAAGCAAATCTTTGTACAGTTATTATCTTAAGTATATTTAATATCCACATAATACTTTTATGGAATATGACATCTTTTTTTTTTAACAGATCCAAACTATCCTTTATAAAAGCATTTTTTCTCCTCTCATTCAGGATCTGATCTAGGATTATGTAGCACATTTAGTTGCCATGTTTCTTTAATTTCCTTTACTCTGGAACACTTTCATAGCCATCTTTTGACTTACATGTCATTTTCACATTTTTAAAGAATACAGTTCTTTTTTCCTTTTTAAAAAGAAAAATAGAATGTTCCTTACTCGGGCTTGCCAGGGGAAACTGCCAGGGGAGGAAGGGGATACACCTCATCAACAAGGGTACCTGCATAATGAACATTTGTATACATTTTGGATTGTTCCCCACACACCCAAAAACCAAAAAAACAATGTTCTTTAAGTTTGTTGGATGTTTCCTCATGATTAGATTCAGGTTATGCATTCTGATACAGTTGTGTCTTTCTCAGGGTGTCATATCTGTGTATGCAATAATTTTGAACAGAGAAAAGGCACTCAATAGACTATGTAACTTAAAAATATATGCATGCTGTCTTACTTATTTCCATTTGTGACAAAATCAAGTCATGGGCATTTCTAAAGGAAGAGCTTAGTCAGTTTTAAAAGAATGGTTACAATATATTTGAAGATGATAGGTTGCTTTGCTCCCTTCTTGTAATTTCAAAGCAAAGCAGATACCACAGTGGGGGAGGAGAAGAGGGACCAAAAAGAGAGAACGTACCTGAATTTTTGTGAAATCTATATGATTTAAAACTTTAGAGTTGATTTAACCATTCCACAATGTAAATATACTTTAAAATATCATGTTGTACATGGTAAGTATATACAGTTTTATATGTCAATTTAATGTCAATTTAAATGTTTGAAAAATAAAGTTCCAGAAATAAGAAATCTAAATGTATGCATAGGAATGTGGAAATAGTGATATATTTGGGAATATTCATGTTATAGATGTGGGGTTAAATTACACAGCACTCAGAGGCCCACTCGGAGGCTAATCAAGTTGACCTTCTAAAAGCTTGGATATCATTTTCTGAATGTACAGCTCTGAAAAGCCAAATCAACTGGGCTTAAAGTTTATCATATTTCAGCGTGTACATATGTTTCCATGCACTGGGAATGGTGATTTAAAAAAAATACTCACAGTCCTGGTGAGAGCTATTGTCCAGTATCTTCCCACATGGAAAATTACAAAGTTTTCATAAGCCATCAGTAGATCTGGAAGAACTTTAGAAAAAGTTTGGGTTTCTACAAAGCATATTAATTTATTGAAAATGACTGGGCTTTGTTTCTTTGGGAAAATTACTTAGTATGCTGATGAACACTGCTGTTGTTCTCAGATTAATGGAAAATTTTCTATATTTTGCCCTAACTTAAGACATGGGGAGGCAGAACCAGTGGGGAGCCAGCTGAGTGCAAAAGGAGGGTGCTGCAGTCTTGTGAGGTCTCGTCTGTTCCTTGGACATTCTGCTGGAAGTATGGGAAGTGTCACAGCCTGCATACTTCAGCACTTTTGGGAAAACCTTTATTCTCTGGCCTTCTCTGTTTTTGACTCATTTTGAAAGATACTAAAAATGGATTGTGCTGTATTAGACATTTTAGAAATGGTCAAATAAATGAACAGACTAGACTTCATGGTCCCATCTACCCCCCTGGCCCAATAATGCCCATCCAAAAGTACTTATTACAGGTTTTAAAATTTAAGTGTTTCTGTGTTGTGTCTCAGTGGGCTTTTAGGAGGGGTTTCCTAGGAGACAAATCAATCTTTTTGTTTTCCCATGAAAAGGCTCTAGGTTAGTACATACTCCTCTAGCCCCCAGGAGTCTTATTGGTTAAGGTACAGGGATCACCCTTAGTATGATGGCCTTTCTCTGAGCTAGGTGGGTTCTGTGCTACTTACTCAAGCCCAGGGATATGTGGGGATCATGCTGTTCTCCATGAACCAAGGTATTCATAGTGACACCTTGGAGACATTGGAGACACACATGAGTTTGATACCTCCGGGCTCTTTTACCCATGTTGTTAGCAGTGATCTTTGTGCCCTTCTGTGCTACTTCCTTTCATTGGGCCTGGCAACACTCAGAATTCCTCCCCAACTCCCAACTTTGGTCTTGTCCATTGGGCAGATTATTCCATTCATAGAAATGAATCCGTTTTGTGTACACACTCTCTCCTTGCCCTTCTCTGCATTTTTTCCAACATGTAATATCTCCCCTCTTGCCTTTGCAGGCCCCTTCCTGTTGTTTCCAGAAGCCCTCACCCTTTATTCACTCACAAGCACTTTCGGTTCTCTTTTCTTACTGTAAGGCAGCTAAGACAGAGAGGAAGAGGGGAAAGACAGCCACCACTGTCAAGGTCCTGCTTTCACCCTCCAAGAGACACAGTATTCCAGAAGACACTTCAACCTCCTTGAAGGTTGACTGTGGCTGATATTTCCAATTTATAGCATTTTAATAGTCCTGGCATTCTCAGAAGCTTGCTTCATTCATCTTTAGTACAAATTACATTTCTGTCACCCCAAACTGATGTTGACAAATGTGCATAAGCAAGTGGCTGCAGGTGCCACTGGGTCTGGCTTATTTATTTCAATATTTACTTTGAAGTATTTGAAATAGCCCCAAATAGTCATAACTCCTATTTCTGTTGCCTTCTCCCTGAAAAGTAACTTTATTCTGGGTTCTGTTTTATTTTATAATAAGGCAGACAGGAGAATTCAGTGTCAAAAACCCTACTGCCATCCAGCAGAAATGAGAAACCCAGGGCGGTGGTTTGTTTAGCATCCTAATGCTTTCTTTTTCTCCACAGGCTGGTTATATGTCTGGGATGCTGGTGCCTGTAGGGGTTGGGATAGCCGGAGCCTTGTTCATCTTGGGCGCACTCTACAGCATTAAGGTTATGAATCGCCGACGGAGAAATGGCTTCAAAAGACATAAAAGAAAGGTACAGAACCAACAACTGCAAAACTTAATCAGTTTCAGAACATTCTTCACTTATCTAATTTGCTTAAGAAAGCACACGGGGCTTAATGATGCATGAACACTATTGACGTGTCCAGTGGTTTGGATTAGCTGCTGCAGCTGCTCCCTTGACTTTCGTTTGTTCGTGTGTCTTTTAAAGAGGCCCTGTTTCTCAGTTTTCTCTGTGGCAGAAAGAGTTTAATGCTTTTCTGTTTTCTTTCTCCAGCAGAGAGAATTCAACAGCATGCAAGATCGAGTTATGCTCTTAGCCGACAGCTCTGAAGATGAATTTTGAATTGGACTGGGGTTTAACTGGGATATTCAACAATGCTATTATTTTATTTTTTATTTTGGGGCAAACAGCAAGAAAGAACAACATCCTGCCATATTGCTGCTATCAGGCCGTCAGTCCTAGTATCTGCTGGGTAGTAGATTTTTCTTGTACTGAGCAGAAAAGGCATGCTGTATACTAAATGTATTATGCAGTGTTTGTTTTATTCTGTAGTGAATTTCCACAACTGCAGGCTGCCACTTATAAATCGGCAGCATATATGTTGTTTAGTAGGAGTTACTACTTAGGTAGAGTAAATATTTTGTGTTTTTTCACAGTGTCTTTTCTTTGGTTTGTATTACCCGCATTAAGTATAATGGTCATTGCCACCAAGGCATGCTTGACTTTAACATAGAAATCTTAACAAAGAGTTACTTCTCATGAGTGTACTCTACCTACTTGAAACCATAGGCTTGTGGGCCACAGTACTTACTGCATTCGCATCAAAACTAGCAGCAACTCTGGATGAAATATTTTTCATTAAGATCTCTCAGCATATTAGGATTATATGTAGATTTGTATGTATCTTGTATTATGTACTTCAGTCTCCTAGTTTTATTATTTTTCACCTCCTGTTTTAACCTTATTCTTGGCAAGGAAAAAAATGCACCAGAAATGATATAGTATTGACTCTCAATGTGCGCTTGCTTTCTTAAATACTGTGATTGAGTTCGACAGAGGTGTTCATGTTTATCATTGAGATATTCCTTTTTTTGTACCATTTGCCTTTACCTAGAAGAAATGAGAAAGTATCAAGATCAAAATGCAGGTAGATCAGCTCCCAGAGCATTCATCTTTGCCATTCTGTTGTGCTTGCGTAGTCACTACTTTGACTAATTCAGAGTGTTGCTTTCCCACATCTATGTTCTTGACCATGGAAAGAGTGGGATACCATTAGTCCTTATTTGGCTTTACTAGAAAAACAGACATTCTCTGGTAGAAGCAGGCCCAGTAGCCAGAGCCCTGGTGTACAACAGAGCTCGTGGAAGACCACCTCTTTTAGGACATTTCACAATGGGCATGTTGGACTCTTTTAGATCATTTCTCATTTCCCTTGGAATGTAATTTCCTGCCCTACACCAAATAGGGTATTTAAATCTGGGCCTTTGGGACTTGCAGTTAGTTGAATTTTGGGGTAAATACTTGGTCCATTTTCATGGAAGAATAAAGGTACTAATATCCTCACTATGGAGGACTTGTTCACATTTATTAGTTTATTATTATTGTTTTGCTATGTTCACAGCAAGTTGCACAGTTATTCTTCATAGCTATTGTGTGAGGTAGGACATATGAGTGTTTCTGACCCCCCTTTGGCCGAAGGTGGAACTGAAGCAGAGAAGTGAAATGATTAGCCAAAGTTACACCTGGAGAGAATCAGCATGGGAACCCATTTGGACTCAAAACCATGCATCCCTGTCTTAAGTTCAGTGGCCTTTTCACATACTTTGGAGGAAGCAGTGACATTTCAGAGTCCTTTAAAACAAAGATTCTAAAGAAACAGCAGCTTGCTTAGGCGACATAGGATATGAGTTTCTGTCTTGGTTAAATGAATGATGCCTTTTTAATTTCTCTCTTACACAAGTTTTTTCTTCGCTGTCTCAGTTATTTTCTTTATAATCACATAAATTTAAATATCATCTGAAACTAATAGAGAAAGCTTCTTAGAATCCACTTTTGAATGATGACTGACTCACAAGAATGTTTTCATCAAATAATTTTAACTCTTTCGCCAAGAGATGTAAGCAAAAGTGTGAAAATGATCAAGCGAGATGAAAATTTCCGTACCAATAGAAGATGGCAATTGACAAGTAAGCTCAAGTTCAGGTTTGAAAAATAGAATTGAGAACCATGACGCTCAGAAGTAATTTGTAATTTCACGAGTAGAGATATCATGATATTGCATAAGGGATATTTTCCTTTTCTAAGAGCAGCCCCTTGTTATAAGTGTTCCTGAGGTTAGGAGTAAAGGAGCATGGTGTGGCATGACTATCTTTGTGTACTTGACAAGCTGTTTACAGAGAATACACAATAAACCACTTAATTCCGCCACAGATGGGATATACTAATAGCTACTATTGCCTTGGGCTACTCAATCTGTAGTCTTAACTAGGCCATAGTTAATAGGTTGAATCTTCAAACTGTAGTATAATAAATTAACAAATAACCAACACATATTTTTATATATAGAGAAGACTGTGAGGATGATATATATGCAAATGTAGGCTTAAGCAGAAATATCCCTGTAGCCCTTTTTGGGACACGTGACTGTTTAAAGGAAAAGAGCTTACTTAGATCACAGTAGATTTCTGTACAAACCTATTTAAACATCTGGACTGAATGGCAGGTCAGTGGATGGCACAAGTGGCATGTTTTCCTTGCTGCCGGTGACTGTGGAACAACTAATGACTTTCATTGGTTGTTTAGATTTTTAAGAGGATCAGAAAGGGTGGTCATGTTCTGAACAAAACCTGGGACGAGGGGTGCTGCCACCAGATGGAAGTACTGGACAGTGGTTATTCTGTTGTCCAGACAAGATGTAGCAAATCAGGCACTGGTGGCATTACCTAAAATAAGTGATGAGTATGCTTATATTTACACATTAAAATTTTTAAAAAATCAACTCTTTATTCTAACAACTAAGCTTAAAACATCTAGAAGTGAGACAAAGCTGCCTGGAGAGGAGGGCTGATCACTGATGCTTTAATTGTGAATACCTTCCCCCCAGACTCAATTTACCCAATCAGAATTGTGAGCATCCCACTGCAGGGGTAGAGGCAGTGTTTCCCAAGCTCATCAGCTCATAAGAATCACCTGGGACACCTGTTAAACATTTGGATTGCAAGACCTTGCCCCAGACTTACTGATTCACTATCACCAGGGAAGGAACTTGGAATTCTTATGCCCAGTAAGTTTGAGAACACAGCTAGGAGAGATTTATCTAGAGAACAGCATTCTTATTAAAAGAGATAAGGAAAATTAAAATTACAGGGATATTACCTCACACCTATTAGTACGGCTATTCTTAAGCAAAACAAAAGATAACTGTTGAGGAGGATTGGAGAAATTGGGTCCCTTGTACACTTTTGGTGAGGATGTACGCTGCTGGTGTAGCCACTATGGAAAACAGTATGGATGTCCTTCAAAAAGTTAAAAATAGAGCTGCCATATGACCCAGCAATGCCATATGACATATATCCAAAAGGATTGAAACCAGGATCTCAAAGAGATATCTGCACTCCCATGTTCACTGTAGTATTATTCACAATAGCCAAGATGTGGAATCACCCAAATGTCCATCAGTAGATTAATGGATAAAGAAAATGTGATATACACATACAACAGAATATTATTCAGTCTTTAAAAAGAAGGAATCCTGCCATTATGAAAACATTATGCCAAGTGAGATAAGCCAGTCACAGAAAGACAAATAACTACACGATTCCACTTATATGAGGGATCTAAATTAGACAAACTCATAGGAGTAGAGGTTAAATGGTGATTGCCAGAGGCTGGGGGGAGGGAAAAAACAGGGAGACGTTAGTTATGTTTCAATTATGCAAGATGAATAAGTTCTAGAGCTCTGTTCTAACAACAGAGAGCCTATAGTTAACACTGCTGTATTGTCCACTTAAACATTTGTTAGGTGGGTAGATCTTATGTTACGTGTTCTTAACACACACACACACACACACACACACACAAAGACAAGGTGAGCAAGCACCTGTGGGAAGAGACCGTTTCCTTAGCCATGCTATCCAATAAATCACACCTGCCATGGAGAATGGAGAAAGGAAAAATGAAAGAGAAATAAATGGAAACCACTAGAAAAAAAATAGAAGGCTGAGATGTAGAGAGAAGGGTTTCTTCCATACCATTGATGTCTTTTAAACCTCTTTAATTTTTTTAATCTCTCTTAAGCTGCTGCTTTCAGTAGCTGCTGGCTTAATTTATATGCAATATTTGGAGTTAATTAGTGTCCCAGTATAACAGATTCCCTTAGCAATGCCTTAGCCTTGGCTTCAGCTCATAAACTGCCTCAAATGCAGTTTTTCAGAAACACTTTCTTAAAGTACCTGTATCTCTTCACATAGTGCAAAACCATGTGGAGACATTTTTAAAGCCAAGTTTTATAACGTATTTAAAATAGCTTTTGTACAGTCAATTAAAGCTGGTTTTTCATTTTATTATTTTCCAAAGGCTCAGAGTTAGAAGCCAAGATGTTTTGGCATATCAAAAAATACCATAGAGCCGCACAGAGCATTCCGAATTCCCCTTGCTTTCCTCTCTTGTGTCTCCAGATATCGCCTTCCTGTGGAAGTCCAAATGAAACACCTTTTTTGGAATCACAGCCACAACTTGGAAGAGAAAAATTAAGTCATCCACAGGCATTGTGATTTCTGTGTATGTGAATAATTCATGTTCTTACCAGGTGCCAATAGACGGCTTTTGGAAACAAGATTTATTATTTGGTGCAAAGGTATAGTTACATGGCCTTTTGGTAAAGTAGGTTTTGTGGTGACCACAGAGAAATCTGAAGAGGCAGGATTACAATTGAAAAAAATCTTATTCTTAGGGTATATGAAGGTATACAAGAAAGAAATATGGTAGAACAAGATGGAAGAAAAATCATAGTACAAGGCAGATATAAACATGGCACAAAACATTAGGAAGTACTAGAGGAAGTCAAGGTTCTGAATGGACTAATTCTTGGAAAAATTGATACAAGCAAGGAGAAGAATGCAAATGAGGAAGATTATTAGTAAGACACGGGACCATAAAGCTACACAAATCTATTTTGACTTCATCCATTCCATTAAAGAAAATATCCTGCACTATCTAGAATGAACATTGCTGGGGGGCGGGGAATTGAGTCCAAGATGGATGAAGAGATGAAAGGTGCTTGGTTACTTTAAACTAGCTGAATATTATCTTTAATTACACAGACTTCAAATGACTGATTATAAACTTCTAGGAATGGGAAATAATTTGAAAAAAATAGTATTGACTTAATAGAAATCCCATATTTTCACATTTAGCACACCATTTAGACACACAATCCTTTGGAGGGGTAGCTACTAGACTGATAAGCTGAGGATAAACTGAGCAGAGACTTTACTTTGATAATTACAGACTTTGGCAGCCAACATAGCTGAAAACAATTCTGTTGCTTAATTTCTTTTCTTCTTTTTGTTTTTTTTTCTTTTTTAGAAATGAGGTCTGACCAAATTGCCCAGACTGGTCTCGAACCTCTGGGCTCAGGCAATCCTCTTACCTCAGCCTCCCAAAGTGCTGGGATTACAGGTGTGAGCTACCACACCTGACCCTGTTGCTTAACTTCTACATGTAGAAAAAAATTAGCATTTACTTTGTAATCCACTGTTATATAAATGCACTGGGAGTGTCCTATTTGGGGTAATAGGTGTGTCTAGTTCCTTACTAATTAACCCAAATTTCTATTGTGTGCATATAGGATAAAGTGAGGAAGGAAGGAAAGAAGGAAGGGACTTCCATCAATAAATAGCAGCAAAAGCACAAAGAAACAAATCATCTGCTCCCATGTTATAGTTTGCATAAAAGCACAAAAAATTGAAGTTAAAAAACTTTTAAATATTCCACTTGATGAAGCAAAGATCCTGTTTTCCCTCCTCAAAAAGCAACAGGAGCAGTAACACAAGTGGTGACCATTAATAATTCGTAATATAGAGTATAAGTTCTTAAGACTGCATCCTTAGGTCTGAAATCCAACACTGATGTTGCTGAGAGGCGTAATCTTTTCTGAGATGAAGACAGAGAAACCTAGAAGGAATAGAAACAATAATTATCTCTAGGGGGAAAACCTTCTTATCTTCTCGAAGTTTATAGGTTCAGGAACAGACTGCAGGCAAAATGGCAGACAAAATGAGTACCTTCTTGGATGACTTTAGTATCTTAAGGTGGGGAGATCATTTGCTCCCGTCTCAAAAAAATAAACCTGGTATCAGTTCAGGAAACTGAGGTTTTATTAACCAGTATCATGTCCATCTCCATATTTTCTTCCCAAGAGTAGTGAGATAAAGAAAGAGACCAATAGCACTTGAAACATTTCTCCAATGTTACATCTCATGATGTAGCCACAGCATTTGTATAGTGTCAGACAAAAATTCACCCCCAGGAAAGTATAAATACAGTGTTCCAAAACCTCCAGT